TAGGCATTACATTCAATGAAGAACCATTATCAATCAACAATCTGGCTATAATATGGTCCTGACATTTCACTTCACTAAGTGTAAAGACCATGGCGGGTCGTTACACCAGACATTTCTAATTCGTGATCTAACTAAAAAATATTTTGCTCCAAACATAGGAATTGCTAAGAATAAAACTTGAAAAAAAGAACCAATTGTTTGGGAAGTACTTTAAGAAGTTATGCATGGACATCCTCTATAGTTGAATAGAGCACCTACTCTGCATAGATTAAATATACAGGCATTCCAACCCATTTTAGTAGAAAGACATGCTATTTGTTTCCATCCATTAGTTTGTAAGGGATTTAATGCAAACTTTGATACGGATCAAATAATTGTTCATGTGCTCTTAATTATCTTTAGAAGCTTAAGCAAAAGCTCATTTAGTTATATTTTTTCATATGAACCTTTTGTTTCCGTCTATTATATACCAACTCAACTCAATATATGCTTATTGGACTTTAGATACTAACGAATGGAAATCAACTATGGCTACGGTGTCATTGGTACCTGCAACATCTTGAGAAGAAGTTTGTACCTATAATAACATCCGAACATGTCATACCATGTGACAAATTCTGGAAATTCTTTCAATCCTGACAGATATATCATAGGTGCTTGCAGCAATTCTTTCAATCCTACCACGGTGGCTAAAATAATTTATTTTAGTAAATAATTTTAAAAACTATATTTTAGTAAATATTTATTTTTTTATTTATTGAGACCAAAATGCCCCGAACCAAGTGTATTTCGATTAAGTACTTATGAAAGGATGATGGCCTTTCCTTAACCATATTTACGAGCCAATGAGTTCGAGTAACACACCAGCTCATCTCATGACTGCACCCCAAAACCTTCATTTCAATTAACAGGGTTGCAATCTCTACATACAGCATATGATGCTGCTCCAAGCAACCATAGCAACCCAGCAGAAACTCCCCGTTATGGTATTTGTAAAGCCCTCCAAAACACGCCAATGTAGGAGATCCCATGACACTACCATCCACAATCAGTGCAATAAAACCGATTACGGGCTATCTTTTAGATGAGTACGATAACGATGTCTCTTTTTTTATTTTATTCTATGCCACTGGCATACATAATTCAGACAATTAAGGTTTATCAGCAAACTAGATAACAGACTCAGATCATAAACATTCTTAATTAGATCAGTCTGCTTTTACATGCATAAGGCAATAAATTATCAGAATCTGAAATATCATTTAAGCTATCTTAAAGTGGTGAATTTGAATGACCTCCACATTCAGTTTCTGGAAATTGCTGCCTTTTCTGCGGACAAGAAACTTGCCCCAGTTGTATGGCCTATATTTTGGAGGGTTTTTCTCATTTGTCAACTCCTCCAAAGGCTCGACTATGGTGTAGTGCGCTGGGTGGAAGAAGAATGGAACGGAAAACCTTTCTTTCTCAGTGTTAGCTATCACTCTGTGTTCCACGCTCTCATACGCGTCATTGCTCCAAACCTGCATAAACAACTCCAATACGTAATCACCTAACTTAGGGATTAAATATTTCATAAACTTGGATTCCACATTCGACATACCCAATATTTTAAAGTCAGTAAAATGTTAACATATTTAGTCTTTATAGTTACCGGTACCTGAATGATATCCCCAACATTGATTATGTAAGCATTTGGTGTAGGTTTCACTCGAACCCACTCTTGATCTGCTCTGCGTCTAACTTCAAGCCCTTCAACAACGTCATCTTTGGCAAGAACAGTTAAGGCACCGGCGTCCTTGTGTCGACCAAGACCAAGAGCAAGGTGAGGGTAAGGACATGGAGGGTAGTAGTTGAATCGAAGATAGCTAGTTTGTTCTTTGATGAAAAACTCTTCAAACCTCTTTGGCTCAAGGCCTAAGCTCAGAGCTATAAGCTCCATCAACTTAAAGGACAGCTTTTCCATCTCTTGGATATACTCTTGAACCATATCCCTGCCCATATTCACATCCTTTTATACACAACCCATTAACTATTGAATTTAATTATGATTTGTATGGTTTTTAATTTGTTATCCACCAAGAGCTAGGTGAGGATAAGGACATGGAGGATAGTGGTTCAGTCGAATGAAACTTGTTTGTTCTTTGATGAAAAACTCTTCAAACCTCTTTGGCTCAAGGCCTAAGCTCAGAGCTATAAGCTCCATCAACTTAAAGGACAGCTTTTCCATCTCTTGGATATACTCTTGAACCATATAGTATTTGTTATCCTAAAAGTCAACAAATTTATTATTTACAGTGAATTGTTGTAATTGGTTAACTGTATAAAACTATTTTACATTGGGAATGCATCAGCATTGCACCCTTAATTAACTAATTATATAAAAGGAAAGAACACTCGTGTTTTTCACGCCAGAATTTGATTTTTCAGTATGTAATTATTAGAAAGTTAAGACGAATTACCTGAAGTGTGGAGGGGATAGATTAGTCCACTGAGTGAGTCGATCATCGTGTTCATCAAAAGTGAGAGGAATGAAAGTGGGGTCTTGGGCTTGAAAATCAAAGACTTCTTTCCAGTCCCTAATGTTTTTGGTGTGTTCTGCATCATGGTAACCAGTTGGAGATATCTCATCTCTTTTATACTTCCTCTTCTCCTCCAGAGTCTGCGCAAAGAACAATCTAGAAGCTTCCTCAATCCTTTGCCTTAGAGAGAGGGGCACCCCATGGTTGGTTACTTGGAAGAAGCCCCACTCCTTGCATGCACTTCCTATCTCCTTCACTAAGCCTTCAACGGAAGATGGATTTAAAAGTGTGTGGTTGGTTATTGGAGAGAGATCAATAATGGGTATTCCTTCGGCTTGGATGATGGAGTGTTTTGGCCTGTGTTCTGGATCTTGGATGAAAGCTGGGTCAACCTCTCCCATGACTGTTACTAACTTGCTAGTGCTGTTGATGCTTGAGTACACTTTGTTTGCAATATTATATATGGAGTTGTTACGTGCTTCTTGTGATTTACTTGTTTCAATTTCACCGCCAAATAAAAGGGTTATTGGTACTTTTACGTGAATAAGTTTGATAATCTAAATCTAAATAACCGGAAATTTCTGACTAAATTTTGGTATAAGATGAATTAACCAAAAAGTATAATTTAGAAAAATTAATCAAAATATTAATTACATAACAAATTTTTTTATTTAAAAATGGGACAGAATTACAAAAATTAAAAATAAAAAGCTGTAATAATACTACAAAAATATTAAATAGTAAAAAAAATAATAAATAATACAACTAAAAAACTAATTTATACTATAAATTCAAAAAAAAAATTAAATAGAAGAAAAACTAAAATATATTAACAAATATTAATATTAAACTATTTAATTATAGTAGATGCTATAATAAGATAAAACATATATATATATATATATATTAAAAATACTAAATTAAGATGAAAGTGACAATTGTTGCAGTACTCCCTCAATTATATTGTGTATGATAGAATTTTTTATTAAAAAAATGGGTGTCAAATAAAAATATTAAATAATAAATGAAATATCGTGTCATCTCTGATCTGGATTAGTTTGCTTTTCTTACCATTGTCTCTTGTGCGAAGCTATGTAAGCAGTGTTTTGGAACTTTGATGGATGGACGTACTAAGAATTTATCTTGAATTGATTAATATATATTATTTGAAATTAAAAGAAAATATAATACTTATTTAAATCCTACATATATCAATTAAACACGTTTTCAAATGGTTTAAATTTCATCTCAAACCAATAAGATGGGATCTTAATCTTATTATATGGGAACCATGTGAAGTCTGCACATTGGGCGGCGGACAGCATTTGCACGTGGTATATTTATATGTTATTTAATAAGTTTTATAAATTGTATATTACTAGACTTATTAAGCATTTGTAATGTATGACATAAATATTTATTTTAGATAATTAAGATTTATAATAAATAAATCTTTGAGATTAATTTTAATGATTGGTGATTAAATTAAATTAAAATTAAAACAATATTTAAAAAGATTAAAAAATTCTAGAAACACTTTTTATCGAAGAAAAAGATTATATTTTTAAATAAATTAGTCTAACCAAGTTTACTTTCTGGTGAGCTAAGAAAATTCTAACCGGCTCAACCTATCAACAATTGATTGATTAGGTGGCTTAACTCACTAAATTTTTTAAAATAAAAAATAAAAAAATTAATCACATATTTTTGTTTTTAATAAATAAAATAGAAAGTTATAACTTTTCTATCAAGAAATCAAGTCAAATCATTGATTCAAATACTAATACAAAGGAAAATATCAATTAAAATTTCAAATGACAATTACATAAATATATATATATATATATAATTATTTTAATTATTTTAATTATAATAGTTAAATGGGTTAGTTTGACTCATTTCGATTCAAATATGTTTTTCTTACGAGTTAAGTGTGCCAAGTTGGAATTTAACAAAAAATTAATACACATTTTTATTTTCTAACGGCTTTGTCTCATGGTGAGTTGGGTTAACCACTAAGTTGAAACTCACTTTGATATTTATGACAAAATATTTTTTAAGTGAAAAGAAAAGAAAAAAAAAGGAAGGAATGAGAGAAAATAAAATTAACAATGTATATAAAATACCAAAAATGTCCTTAAAAAATATGTACAAAAATAAAATATACTTTTAGACATTTGACATATAAAACATCAATCTCTTTCTTTTTCTCTCCATATTGGAGGAATTAATAAACATGTGGGTCTCACCCACTTTTAAATCAGTCCTCCTTATTTATAAAAATGTCATATAAAAGAAAGATAAAAATTCTCTCTCCTTCCCCCTCCCCCAAAATTTTAGAGATTAATAAACGTGTGGATCTCACTCATTTTTTTAGTTATTCCTCCTTATTTATAAAAATATCATATAAAAGAAAGATAAAAATTCTCCCTCCTTCCCCCTCCCCCAAAAATTTAGAGATTAATAAACGTGTGGATCTCACTCATTTTTTTTAGTTATTCCTCCTTATTTATAAAAATGTCAAATAAAAGAAAGATAAAACTTCTCCTCCCTTCCCTTTCTTCCCCCTCCCCTTGCCCCCTTTTCATCTTTTCATCTTATCAAACATGTTCGGAATTGGAAATTGTGTAAAAGTTACCAACTTAAGAATTGTTTTGTATCTATTAATTTAAAACCTTAAGTTAGACACACGTTAACAAGGAATGCTTCTAACATGAAGTAGTAGAGTCCATGCCTCATCCATGAGGCACTAAAGTTACCAGTAATAACAAGTTTTCCAACTTATTTATATTTGCAAAATAGTCCTTATATTATATGTGGAGGCACGGTGAAGGTGCAGTGGCGGCGGGGGCACGGTGGCAGTGGAGGTGTCGTCTCCTTCCACGATGGTGGCAGTGGAGGCGTGACCTTCTTCGCGCGGTGGTAGCGGAGGTGCGAGCTTCTTCAAGCGATGGCAGCAGAAGCATGACTTTGTTCATGTGGTGACAACGGAGGCGCAAGCTCTTTCAAGCGATGGCAACAGAAGCACGACTTCGTTCGCGCAGTGGCAACAGAAGTGCGACCTCCTTCGCACGATGGTAGCGCGGAGGCGCGGGCTCCTTCAAGTGGTGGCAGCGAAAGCGCGACTTCGTTCGTGTAGTGGCAGCGGAGGCATGGCCTCCTTCGCGCGATGGCAGCGGAGGCGCGGGCTCCTCCTCGGCACCACCAGCCTCATGTCCTTCCTCTGTTGCCACCTCCCCCTCCCCATTGTCTATGACGTTCAACTCTCCCAGGCCTCTCCTTCACCTTCTCTGTTGTCAAC